TGGACATATTTTCATCGCCGCCGAGTGAACTTGACCAATTCTGTCAGCCATTCCATGGCATCGGCAAGACCGTCGTCGGCCGGCTGATCGGGTGCGGCTACCGCGTCTGCGCTGACCAACCGCCACGGACGATCCTGTTCCATTTGCTCGTGCAGTTTGAGAGCTCCGGCCATGGCGGACGCGCCGCACGCGTCCGGCGCASCTATCTTATTAGCCACAAACAGTATGGGCAGGTCTGGTCGGTCGGCTATGTCTGGGTGCCGGAGCATCATGTCCAGCTCGTCCTTGACCACAGCGAACCGCATCTGATCCGTACTGTCTACAACGAACACGATAGCGTCGCACTGGCCGTACATGGACTCCCACATGCTCCGGTACCCGTCTCGGCCAGACATGTCGCTGGCAGTAAACTTGACGTTGTTATCTACAACGATGCGGAAAACAGACAATGGATTAGTTAGGAGACATTGATACCGAATATAGTTTAGTAACGAAATATGTTTTAAAAAAAGTATTTCAAATAGGTTTATGTTTAAATAGGCACATCAACCTAACCTTTAGCTCATTCTAACCATAATKATATCTTAGATAGGTATACCTACCTACTATTCTTTCTTTATCACCTGGCGTTACACCTCCAAATCAATACCTGCAGAACATGTTCTCTCAATCGCACCCAACTCTCAATCTATAACTTCCGCCAATATGTTATAAACTAAACTCTCCTTATTACCCATTTTTACCATCATTCAAGTTGATAATCTCTCAAATTTGTCTTAATGTCTTATTGAGCTTATTATTGCTTAAATCAATTTCTCATTTTATGGTCAGTAAATATTTTTCAAATTACCCCAACTTTGATTGTCTTAGCTTTAAAATCATCTATAACTAACGGCTCATTTTCAGCTCTATCAGCTGGATATTCTCTATACATACCTGAATTACATGTTTCTTTCTCCAATAATCTACCTCATTCATCATCTTTCTATACTGCTATTCTAGGAGTCCTTTAATTAATCTAAGATTTAGCCCCTAATAATTACACATTAACTTCTGACTCTATAGCCTGTTTACAATCCCGTGTATCAAATCCATTTGATTTTAAATTATCTTCACTAACCTTTCATATATCATATTACATCATATACATATAAATGTTCTCAATCAGTCCAATGGCATTCAACKTATGTGGGCCCCAAGCCATATCGACACACATGATTACGAAATAGCTGACAAACTCGCCAAAGCTACTTCCGATACAATTTTACATTATTTTATTCAATTACCTTGTACTGATTTAATCCCAACGCTATGTCGTCATACCAGGGTTCAACTACTGAAATAACCTTCCGGTCAACTTTGCATCAAAATATGAAACTATTATCCCCATTATCCCTAATAAAAAAAACTTGTTTTAACAACCTAGATTTACTAAGGTTTAATATTGTCCGTTTTAAATAACTTTAGGTGGACCATTCTCTTCTTCTAGATCAAGCATACAAATTTGGATTAAATGGGTCCCGGTCCCCACTACACAYAACTTTAAGCGTCCGTAACTTCTCTCATTTATTAATACTCTTTCTATCATTACATATTAAGCGTATATCTCTGATAAGCTATCTTAAGTCTCTAAATATTCCCTCCAACCTCCTCTATGCTCAATATAAAGTGTAAAATCATCATTAAATAAATAATTRACTTAATATTGGAAGCTGGTTTCGTAATTTAACCTTTAATATTATTTTTGTACATTTTTTTCCACATTTTACTGTCTTAATATCACTATACATTGTTTTTTTCCTTATATGTTTGTCATAATCCTGTCTAGTATACTTGTATAATTGTGTAACTGTATAAATTTCGAGCTTTCATATTGTGTTACCGACCAAAAGCTAATAGAAAAAAACAACAAGCAATCAATTATTCAAAATGTACATATCTAAATATATTTCTCAATTTTTTAAATACGTAAACTAATATAAATACATTGTAAGTATTATAATTTATAACACATATATTTCAAATTAATTTAAATTCTAATATACTAGTTGGACTAATAAATAAATGAAAAATAATTTTGAAAATTAAAAAAAAATACCAATGTAAAACACATCTATAATTGTTAACACCTAGGTATTAGATTTAAGTACTGATATTGTAAAAAATATAAAAGTTATGTTTTTAATTTACGTTTTGTTTTATAATTTTAAGTAAAAAAAAAGTATTTAATAATACTTCGAATAAAATATTGAAACAGGATAAAGTAAAAGTATAAAATAACCATCCTATTGTTTTTAATTTAATTTAGTTTGTGCAATAAAAATATAATATGTCACTATTGCAATAATTMTAGAAAATATTATACCGTGTTTTATAGATGTTAATAAAATATTAAACAGGTAATCTCATACATTGTTGTTTTCTAATCTGTCTCAATAGAGGTACCTACTTAGTACTGGTCTGACTAAAACAGTGAAACAGCACTCCATTTATTGAATCTTTTATTTCGCTCCAGTATATTTCTCAACGTATTTCAAATTGATTTCAAGGTACACAAAACTCTTTAGAAATTTTTTTGTAAAAAAAATCGTTCTTCGAATATTGTTATTTGTTTTAATTTATATAGAAATACCTACTTCAACCTTGCAACTATACAGTCCATACATAGTACATACCCCTTTTGTTCATATAGGTAATTAGACTAAATTAATTAAAAAATTATTTGCYAATTATTTACCTATCGGCTATCACTTTAATCTTATTTGTACATATTGGATTTTTTTTTTATGTACCTACACAAGAAAAGTAGTCAAGAAAATGCTCTGATCATCAACTTAAAAAGTGGTTTCTGTATAAAACTCGATTTAATTTGCAGTTTTAAAAGGTCAACATTTAAAATTCCTAATATTTCTGTGTTATTTTCTCATATAAATGAGTCATGATGACTTATTTTGAGTTATTTATTGACATTTTAAATTAAAATTAAAATTTTTTCGTTTAGTCAAAAAGCTTGAAATATTGATACACCTTTTCTACAAGTTTTTATAAAAGCAGTTAAAATATATTTTTAAGATACATCA